ACTCATAGTGACCCTATAGGACAGAGTAGAACTGCCTCATAGGGTTTCCAAGGCTGTAAATCTTTACAGAAGCAGACTGCCACATCTTTCTCCTATGGAGTGGCTGGTGGGTTCAAACTGCCGACCTTTGGTTAGCAGCCAAGTGCTTAACCACTGTGCCATCAGGGATCCTAGGAATATATATGGTAGGCATTTCTTATTTATCCAAAATTATAAATGGAGCAGTCCATAATTTGGGCCCTTTAACCCCACTAAAAACTAATTTGTGTTTCGTAGCTGACCTTTGACACTTAGAACAATTAAGGTATAAAGAGTATCAAACTGAGAAGAATGTGAGATCCAGTTACTGGTTCAGTCAAACCTTTACCTAGGACTCACTCTGTGCAGGGCTCCCAGTGGGCATTGTGGGGTGCCAGAAAGAACCAGACACCACCCCTTATCATCATGTGATCTAGGCAGAAGTGTTACTCTGATTCAGACCATAGAAGAGAGACAAGCAAAGTGAGGAGTGGGAAAGGCAAATTCTAGTTGGAGGGGATGAGGAGAAAGGGGCAATCTGGAAAGGCTGCTGGAGGAGATGACATGTGACTTAGGACTTGAGTAGTAGAAGGGCTTCAGCAGGAGAAGGAGTGCAATGCGAGCCTGTAGTGGAGCTGGTGAAGAGCCCTGGTGGTGCAGTGTTTAAGCACTTGGCTGCTAACCAAAAGGTCAGTGGTTCAAACCCACCAGCCTCTCATTGGGAGAAAGATGTGGTAGTCTGCTCCTGTATAGATTTATAGTCTTGGAAACCCTATGGGGCAGTTCTACTCTTGTCCTATAGTGTCGCTATGAGTCGGAATCAACTCCACAGCAACGGTTAGTGGGGCTGGTAGAGATGTGTGGGAGGTGCTGGAGAAGCTGGTAAGGAGAGAGTATGAGAGAGCCCAAACGAGCTGCTTATAGGGTGACCTGAGAAAATTAAGCCACAAATTAACAAACATATATTTTAGAGAAACAACAAGTATACCACTTCTCTCCTGCCCCCAAAACAAGAAAATTATTTGTGGAAGGAACACATCTGCTATGACATGGGATTCTTAGTTCAGGATATCAGCTGCAGCTGTAATTTAATATTACTATCTAGAGTCATACATGTGACAAAACTCACTATGCCTGTTTCCTTTGCTCCTTCAAATCGGTGAACACTCTCTCCACTAGCACTTTCCTGTCTAGAAACATAAAATCAGAAATTGAAATGAAAAGTTAACATGCCAGTTGAGCTGATCGTATGTTACAGCTCTGTTAGCTAGTTCTCTCATTAGGACATAAGCAGAAGGCTAGGAATTAGCATTTCACACAAACTGTATGTTATAACTAAAGATCAAATATATGATGCTGTGGTAGACCAAAAACACTTATACCTGGAGAGAGAACTTCTAATTATTCATGCTAACGAATGGAGTCAGGAGCATAGCTATTCTACAAAACCAATTTGAGCAGCCCCAGACATGGTCTCAGACACACACACACACACACACACACAAACACACAAACACACACACACACACATTCTCTCTCTCTGTCACACACACACACACACACATTGTTATTGTTTCTGGGTAGTACAGTACTCCACACATAATAGCCACTCAATTAATTCTTGTTAACTGACTAACCAGCCCCTTCCCAGCTAGAGAATAAAAGAGGTGGGTGAGTAGATGAGTGGATAATCTACTCACAGAAAATCAAGAGCTAATTGTCTATGGCTTCTCCAAAATCTACCATTTCTGAAAGTATTTCCCACAGTGGTTTCTTTCAGCACATTGGGTGGAGACTGCCCACACAGTAGAGACTTGTCTAGGCAGCCAGCACCTCCCACCCACTTCAGGGTTATCTCTTCTCTGCCTGATCCTCTGAAGAGAAAGAGAGGTGTTTGAAGAGGGGATGTGGCCAAGATGAAAGAGAGACTGGGCCTTGGGATTACATTTCAGGGAATGTAGGAGGTACATTCAGCAAAGAGAGCAAGTGGCAGGATTTAGGTATTTAAAAAACTATATATAAGCTTCACCATTTCCATACCATGTTATTAAATGTGTTCTGGCGGTCCTTATTCCTGGGTGGTCATGAGGCTGGGCAGTGAAGAGCTAAATGAGGTCCTTGGAGGCCCAGAATGAATCATTAGCCTAGTAAGAGTCCCTGGATGGTGCAAACAGTTAATGCACTCATCGGCTAACCAAAAGGTTAGAGGTTTGAGCCCACCTACAGATGCCTCAGAAAAAAAGACCTGGTGACCTACTTCTGAAAAAAATCAGCCATTGAAAACCCTATGGAGCACAGTCTTTCTCTGACACACATGTGGTCATCATGAGTCAGAAGGGACTTGATGGCAACTGGTTAGTTAGTATCAGGTAGAGGTGAGGGACTCTCACATGCTCAAAGCTCAGAGACAAGCGTGAAAGTTACTCTCTTGGAGGGTGAAGTTATCGGGCAGTTAAACATAGTGTTCACCTACTTAACGCCTTTGAAGGGATTTTGATATACCTCAGTTTCTAACACCTTGTGGCCGTGGATTGAACCCGACTTAGTCACAAACATGTCTCTTTGGGTACTTTTTTAGGTGGTTTGTTTCAGTGAAATGAGCCCTCCTTGTGGAGTGTATTGATAACCTGATTTCAAGCGATGGGCTGAAGAAGGACCAGGGCTGCAACGAGGGGTGGCTTACAGGCATCCAAAGGCAGCAGAAAATTGAACTTGCATATCTGAGCACAGATGTATGTTGGACACCAAGAGAGGAAATTGTTAAGCAGTTTCTCACATCTTCAATTATATGCCAATTTCATTGACATGAAAGTTGGGTGGCAGTGCCACCCAACAGAACTTAGTGTTTAATTTGCAGTGTAATAAGGATGGAATTATTCCTGAGAGTGATTAAGTATAATGCCTGAATAATAATTTGGAGAATTTCTTAGAAAAAGAAGCCATTTTATTTGAGGGAAATAGCCTTGTGAAGGAACTCTGAGAATTAGAAAATGTGGATTCTATTGCTAGTTTTATTGACAACACCATGGCGGTTTTCTACACTGGCAACCATAAACTTATCATTTGGCCTAACATTAGTACCATGTTTCTTAAAATTGTTTTTTCTCCAAACAAAAATGCAACCCTTTTGCTAACGTAGAAAGTGTTACCATGTGATTTTAGTACCATCACTTAGGTTGTCCATGCCTCAGTTTTTCTACTGGCAAAACAGGGATAGTAGTACCTGTCTAGGGCTCTGTTGCAGAGATAGCATGTTATTAAGAGTCCCAAATCTGGAAATCATACTGGATATGATGTGTGTTCAAGTATAAGATATTAATTACCATTAGTAATAGACTCTGACATTAGTTTCATGGCTTCTCCTATTCCAGATATCCCACTCAACCCTGTCGCTTCGGAAAACTCCTGTTGCTTCTACCAGCTTTACGTTCTATTAGCCCATCAACCATCGAAGAAGTGTTTTTCAAAAAAACCATCGGCAACGTGCCCATTACAAGACTGCTGTCAGATATGTACAAATCCAGTGATATCTAAGCTCTAAAAGTACCCACTTTTCAGGATGGGACAGTGTCAGATGAACTTCTACACATGGAGAACAAGCCTCAACTAACAAATCCTTCAGGAAGCATAAGCCTGGGAACGTGTAGCCTTCAGGAAAAAAAAAAAAGCCAACCGACACAAAGCAAGTCCAGCAGCTCTGGCCTGCTGCCTCCACCAGGGTAGGGCGGCCCGGAAGGAAAGGGAGCCAAAGGCGACTGCCATGCCCTGGGAGTGGGGCGGAGTCGGGGTTGCCACAGTCCTTGTCATTCTGCCTCTTACCTGGAAGACTGTGCTGAACTACCCAAAGCTGAAACACAAGTAGTGCTTTCTTTTCCTTCCTGGCGCATAAAGTTAGGGAACCAAACATTGCTCTGTGAATAACATTGTACAGCAGCCTTCAGAACGACCTCATGTTGGAGCATTTATCTGAAAAATAATGGATAGGTTTTAAATCATTTTATCAAAAGTTTCCCTTCTATTGTAATACATCATTAAATGGCCTTCAGAACTGAGTTAATAAGTGAAAAATAGCTTATGCCGTGTGATTTGCTTTTTCCCTATCTTCTTTTTTCTTTCCTTTCTCTTTCTTTTGTTCTTTCTTCTTCTTTTTAATACCGTAGGCCAGGCAACATTGTCAAAGGAACTGGTGGATGAAAATGAGATTCTCACCAGGACTGCAAGTTGGGTAACATCTTAAAAATAGAAGACCTTTACTAAAAGAACACAGTTGAGGGAGGATGAATAAAAACAGCAAAACCAAATAGAGTGGAGATGAGTGGCTGAGCGAGGCAGATTGCTGTCCCGTTAACATAGTGCTGAAACCAAAGGCAGCGGGGGTCCAAACTCGTGGTTCGGTGAGTCACACCAGGCAGTGAATAAACACAGACATAAGGCCAGAAGGGACTTCAAGGCGACGAACGCTGAAAGGTTTCCTGATTGGTCTATTGCTAACAGTCTGAGACTCATCAATGCCTTTCAGAAAACTCTGGTTTCTAGTAAAGCCTTGGTCAAGTGCACATGTGTGTACACACACACACACACACACACACACACGCACACATATACACATACACAAACTGTCCTACACTATAAGCTGCTCCTTTGGTATGAATCTATACTTATGGAAAATGTAGAAACAAACATTTAAAAAATAGCTGCTGTACTTTTCACATTTTGATTTATTAGGTACTAGCACTGAGGAAAACAAAATCAGCACTTGGACTATCATAGGATGAATAAAACTTTTCTTGTACAAAGTGAATCAACTGATTTGTGAAGTTAAAAAGTTGTACTCATTGTATTTACAAAGAATAAAAATATATTGAATTTAAATGAGCTTTGCCTGATTTTTTTAGCCTACCTTCCTGGCTGGCCTCACCCATCAGATACAAGGTGGCAGCAGCCGCTGGTGTTAAATCAAGCTCAGAGCCCTCCAGCCCAGAGCCTGAAGAACTGAACTACAAAGGCAATTTCCTTTTTACAGTGAGTCCCATTTGTAAAATGATGAATAAAGAAATAAAACATAAGATTCCATGCTCTACAGCTCTCAAATGTAATTGCATCTGTTAGAAAAAATTGTTGCGTGAGGAAGAAACAGGACGATTTACAGAGTCTTCATTCACTTCTCCATTTTTAACTCTCTTGCCAACATTTCAATCCTGACCAGGAACCCGAAATCATTTAATGATCAGAAAAATAAAGCGTGGAGAACTATACTGGTGAGTAAGATGTGAACGGAGCAGTACAAAGGGCATCCAGATGTTCTCAGAAAATCTCAGAACACTGGCCGCACAGGCAGTTGATGGAAATCAGAGGTGCCAAAGGCCATGGGTGCTGTGGGCTCCTCCTGGGCAGCATCTCCAGCAAGGGTCTGAAGCAGAGGCACATGCAACTCTTGGCTAAAATAACCTTACAGGTAGTATGTGTGAAAGTTCTATTAGCCACACATTCCTTGTCCATGGAAAATGAGAAATTAGTCTTATTAAGGAAAATAGAGATACTCAATGATGTAACAAGAATGTTTATTGAAGTGCCTTCATATTTTTAACAACTTAAATGTGGTATGTATCTACAATGTTACAGTAGTTAAAGTGAGTGGACTAGAGCCAATGTATCATCATGGGTAAATCTGGGATATAATGTGTGTGTGGACGGGGGTGGGGGGGGAGGCGGGGAGGGAATTGAAGGATACATATAGTTTGGTACCATTTATATAAAGTTTTATGAGGCATTGGTTGTTCAGTGGTAGAATTCTCACCTTCCATGGGGGAGATCTGGGTTCAATTTCTGGCCAATGCACCATCCACCAGTGGAGGCTTTTATGTGTTGTTATGATGCTTGTCTTAGTTTCTTAGTGCTACTATAACGGAAAGACCACAGTGGGTGGCTTTAATGAACATAAATTTGTTTTCTCACAGTTTAGGAGGCTAGAAGTCCAAATTCAAGGTGCCAGCTCTAGAGGAAGGCTTTCTTTGTCCGCTCTGGGGAAAAAAAATCCTTGTCTTTGCTTCTCTAGCATTCTTCTTGTCATTCCTTGGAGATCTCCACATGGCATCTATCTTTTCCTCATTTGTGCTTCCTTGCTTCTGTGCCTAATCTGCTTTTATATCTCAAAAGTGATTGGCTTAAGACAAACCCTATATTGATATGGCCTCATTAACATAACAAAGAAAAATCTATTTCCAAATGGGATTACATCCACAAGTATAGGGGTTAGGATTTATAACACATTTTGGGTGGACACAATTCAATCCATAACAATGCTGAACAGGTTTCAGTGGAGCTTCTAGACTGAGCCAGACTAGGAAAACAGGCCTGGTGATCTGCTTCTGAAAATCAGCCAATGAAAACCCTATGGATCACAATGGTCCGATCTGTAACTAATCATGGGAATGGTGCAGGACTGGGCATTGTTTCGTTCCATTGTGCATGGTGTCACCATGAGTTGGTGGCTGACTCAACTGCAACTCACAACAATATATAAAGTTTTAAAACCTACAAAACCATACTACATAATGTGTATGTATGTATAAATATATAGCAAAAGTATAAAAACAAGCACAAATACGATAAACACTAATTGCATGATAATGGATATTTCCAGGAATGGATGGGATTGGTGAAGAGTACCAAGGGACCTTCAAATATTCCTATAAGGTTTTATTTCTTAAGAAAAAAATAATCTGAAATAAATGATACAAATGTTAAGACTTAATAAAGCTGGGTAATGGGTCCAAGACTTCATTAATGTATTAGTCAGGTTTTGCTTCAATAATGCTGTACAATAACCCCAAATTTTTACAACAACAAACACTTATGTCTCAATCATGGGACTGTCCATCACCCATGGCTCTGCAGGGCTTGGCTGAGATCAGCTGGGCTATAGACTACGTTCAAGTCTGCTCCATTGTTTCCTCATTCTGGACTAGTAACTTCCTGAAACATGCTCTTTTCTTGGCAGAGTGCAGACATACAAGAGGGAGAGCCAAACCATGCAAACACATTTAAAGCTGCTGTTCACATCATCTTTGCTCACTTCTCACTAGCCAAAGGGAGACATGTGACCAAGCCCAAAGTCAAGGGAACAGGAAAGTGTACTCCCTTGAAGGTGTGGGGAGGGGAGAATATTCCCCCAAGTATAATGAAATCAATCACAATCATAATCTATTTTAATCTATTTAGAATATTCACAATAAAATTAAAAGAGGTTAAGATTCCTGTGACAAGCCACAGATTACTGTGAATTGCCTTTGTTTTTGGCATCTGTCTTAGTCATCTAGTGCTGCTATTACAGAAATACCACAAGTTGATGGCTTTAACAAATAGAAATTTATTCTCTCACAGTCTAGTAGGCTACAAGTCCGAATTCAGGGCATCAGCTCCAGGAGAACGCTTTCTTTCTCTGTTGGCTCTGGAGAAAGGTCCTTGTCATCAATCTTCTCCTGGTTGAGGAGCTTCTCAGGCACAGGGACCCTGGGTCCAAAGGACGTGCTCTGCTCAGGGTGTTGCTTTCTTGGAGATATGAGGTCCCCCTGTCTCTCTGCTCACTTCTCTCTTCCATACCTCAAAACAGACTGACCCAAGTTGTAGATTAATCCTGTAGATTGAGTTTACATAACTGCACTAAACCCATCTCATCAACATCATAGAGACAGGATTTACAACACACAGGAAAATCACATCGGATGACAAAATGGTAGACAGTCATACAATACTGAGAATCATGCCCTAGCCAATTGATACACATAATTTTGGGGGACACAATTCAGTCCATGACAGCATCTCTGCCATTATGAACAAGAATCAAACCCAGTTTTCAACATTTTTAAACTCATTGGCAGTCTCTTCTGAGATTTTGGGATCCCTGCTGGATGTAGACGCAGGATAGGCTTCTTTGGGTACTTTAAGAACCTCACTGCTTGCATAGATTTTAAGGCAGACATCCTTTACGGCTGGTGTTGTGGGAGAGGTTCCAAAGCAGGCTTTGAATATACAAATAAGAGAAGATGAGCCCAATCGCATGGTTATTGCAGTCAAAACCAGTCTTTAGTTCTTCTCCTTGGACAAATGTTTTTTCTAAATCTAGGAAGGTCTTTTTTTTTTAATATAGATTTTATTTTTTGATGCAAATCTATATAGCAAAACATACACCGATTCAACAATTTCTACATGTACAATTCAGTTACACTGATTGCATTCTTCAAGTCATGCAACGATTCTCATTATCTTTTTCCAAATTATTCCACCACCGTTAAGTTAAACTCATGGCCCTTTAAGCTTTTCATCTAATCTTTCAAGTCGCTGTTGTCAATTTGATCCCATATAGATAATTCCTTAAAAGAGTACAGTAGTCAAGGCAGACATTCTTTACTTATTAAGCTAAACTATTTGCTTTAAAGATGACTTTAGGGTATAGTTTCAGTTTAAGATTTAAAGACTATCTCAGGGCAATAGTTTCGGGGGTCATCTAGCCTCAGTGGCTCCAGAAAGTCTGGATCCATGAGAATTTGAAATTCTGTTTCACATTTTCCCGGCTTTCAATCAGTATTCTTCTATAGCATCTTTGATCAACAAGTTCTGCCGTGGTAAACCACCAGCCACTCTGTGGGAGAAAGATGTGGCAGTCTGCTTCCATAAAGATTACAGCCTTGGAAACCCTATTGGGAAGTTCTGCTCTGTCTTATAGGGTTGTTGTAAGTCAGAATTGACTAGATGATAATGGGTTTTTTGTTTTTTTTTTAAATGGTAAACGGGCACCATCCATTTCTTCCTATCTCATGGCAAAGGAGACAGTTGTTCATGGAGGAAGTGAGACAGGCATTCCAGTTCCTCTTCTGATTCCTGCCTCTTCTTGGGAAGGTTGCTTTTTAAAAGTATTGTTTATATACTATGATAATTAGGTATTGTGTCCTACATTTGTGTTTGAATTACTTTTAGTTGTTCTTTGACACAGAGGAAGAGAAAAAATAGAGGATGAATTTAGGAACTGAATTGAGACTCTAAAATTATTTCACTTACAGTTAAGGTTTTTAATCCATTCTAGGAGCCCAACAACTGAATCCATTGGCCAGAGACCTGCTCCATAGTTGACTCCCTTTATTATTTTTATAAAAATGGGAACACTCTACTTTTCTGCAACTTATTTTTTTGTGGCTGCCTCTCCTGGTGTGTACATGTGGATCTACATCATTCTTTTTAACATCTGCAGTTCTACAGATGGGCTACAGTTTATCCAATCAATTTCTTATTGATAGACTTGGGTTGCTTGCAGTTTTTCACTATAATAAAGTAAACTGTGAGAACCATCTTTTTATGTAAACTTCTGTGAATTTGTGGAAGTATTTCTGTAAGATAAATTCTTAGAAGTGGAGTTTCTGGGTCAAAGATTATATGCGTTGTTAATTTTGATGGATACAGCCAAATGGCTCTTTAAAAGGGTTGTATCAATTTGCACTCCTGCCAAGAGGGTATGAGAGGGGGCCCATTTCATTGCTCAGAATTTAAAAGTGCTTAATCAGACGCTGGCTTGATGAACACTTCAGAAGCTGTTAGAAAAATACAGAGAATGCATATATTTCTATTATAAATATGCCTCTGCTAAAATGCTTACTGGACTGGTTAAGTAGGTTTCACCCTGCACTAGTGGTTAGAGTTTGGCTTCCCTGACTTTTCAGTCTAGGCCACTTCTGTGAACATTCAGAAGTAGCCATGTCACGATGAACATAGACAGAAAGTAGATAAATGAAAATGTAGAAGCAGCTGGGCGGACATTTTCTGCTGCTGAGATGCTGCTTTAAGAATCTCAAGCCACTCGTTTCACAATAACAGTTTTTATA